TATATGTGTGTCAGGTGACAGAACAATGACAAAAAATACGATTACACATAAGCCTAGTTAACACTTATTCTATCTTTAATTCAGAGAATAGTAACAGATGGGTAAGAAGTTGTCATCAATGAATATTTTTAACCAGTAAGACCAGATCTCCTTTTCTTTTATTTTTACATTAAAAAGATATGTGATCTTATGGAGCAGAAAGGGGAAAGTTCTAAAGAAATGACAGGTTTTGATAATCTTTTCTTGAAGTTTTCAATTTGAAACCATTGTGTCTTTTTATTGACTTTGGCTAGTTGCCTTCTGAATCACTAGGGATATAGACTCTTACTTGTTAAATCTTTCCATTTCTTGTACTAACACAGTATTCATACTCTCTTCATATCTCACAGGATACTTCATCAGTGCTGCTTCAATGTCAAAATCATGAGGGAGCTAAAAGAATAGATTTTGAAGATCACAAATTACTCTCAGAATGAATAATTAGCTTCGCTCAGCTATAATATTAATAATAGCTAACACTAGGATGTTACTATGTGTGAGGCACTGTGCTGTTTTCACACGTTATCTTATTTAATCCTTTCCATAAAATCTTAGGTGTTCATTACTCCTTTCATTTTACAGATAAGGACAATTGAGTACAGAGAATTTAAGTAACTCGTCCAAGGGCACACAGCTAAAAATGGTCTGTTCAATCCACAAGTCTCTGACTCTAAGCCCCATGTTCTTAACTACTAGAGCATTTTGCAAAAAGATATATATTTCTGAAAAGCTGCCTAATTTCTTTTAGTAAGTTGAATCTTGTTTTCCATTCACAAAACTGATTTCCATTCATAAAACTGATTTCATAACTGTTTTATATTTATTTCTAATAAGTTATCAACTGGCTCCAAATAGCTTAGCTTACCCCACTGTCAAATAATTAATCTGTGTAAATGTAGCAGGGTTCTAGGACATAGGCGGGGAGAAGGCCATTGAGTGTCTGATTTCTATGAGGCACCTCAAGGAGCAGCGATGAAGGGAACTTTGGGACTGACGATCAAGTCTCAAGGCATTGGAATTCATACTTCTAAAGGGGCAAAGAAGTTTCCCAATCAGGGATGTCCTAAACTAAGAAGGTTGAGCTGCCTACACTGTCCCCAGTGATAGGCCCTGGCTAGTACAAAAGAATTCTTCTAAGTCACACTAGGTGTTGTCACTCAGGGGCCCCTTGGCTCAGACAACTCCCTTGCCCCATATATGTTCCAAATGCCTCTGCCAGGTACCTTGTTAGGGATCTTGTAAGAGCCACCATTCTGCAAGGACCAGAACCTTTCCCCAGGTGATAAACCACAGAAGCAGTAGGGGCCAGAGGTGAGAAGAGGCATTATGGCAGAAGCAGCAGTACAGGAGTTGGGGCTGGAGCATGCTAGCTGGCTTTTGCCCACAGCTCAGGCAGTGCTTCTCTCCTCCCTTCCCCAGTGGCCACAGCCAGGCCTCCGGTGAGTAGGCTCACCTTAGGGAATGGTGTGAGGGTAAACTAGTGGCTCAGCCATGGCTTTGAAGGCATGTGGGCTAGGGCCAGCTTGTGCTCTGTTAGAGTGCCTGACACTGAAATCTGGGGATAATTATAGTATTTACCTTGGAAGGGAGTTGTGAACATCTGTGCTTAGGACCATATCTTTTAAAAGTACACCTTAGTAGTTCCTTACTGAATTTAAGACTTACAGAGAAAAGGTGAGAATAGAGAGCGTCATTCCACTTTACTTAGAAGGGCTAAGTACATTGGACTGAATTATGAAAAGAAAAAGCTGTAGCAGCTGACTTAGCATCGATCTTATCTGTGCCTAGATCTAATCTATACCTGTGCCTCCTCACTTCCTCAAGCATAGTTAAAAACCATTCTCTCCTTGAACCAGCAAGTTCAGAACATTTCTCTATTTTTTAAAAGTAGGTCCTTTACCTTTTTTTTTTTAGAAATAAATCATATGTACGTTAGCTCCTCCACAACTAGAGTTACTGAGAACTTACTATGTGCCAGGTATTTTGCAAACCATTTTAAATTCATGATCTCTTTAATGTTCTCGAAAACCTTATGCAATAGGTTCTATTATCACTACTTAACAGATTTGGAGACTAATGCTTAAAGAGGTGAAATATCTTGCTCAAGGTTATAATGCTGGTACATGAAGTTTTCACATTGTCATTTCAGTACCATTTCTATTTCCATTATATTGTAAGCAACATAAATTAAGCTAAATGTTACCTTGTTGAGAATATCTTTGGTAATTTCTAGTAGAATCTGGTCAGTACTTCCTGAGGCTCCTGTCTGTTTGGAGCCTCCCTGGGTAAGCAGCAATGACTCAAAGAGGATTTTTGTTTGTTGAAGATCTTTGGAGATGTCAACATTTTCATGCAATCCAAATACCTCAGGGTGTTGAGTAAATGGAAGTTTCTACCAGAAAGTAGATGAAGCATGCATGACATTTTTACTGGATACTGAAGGGGATCAGGATATTCCTTCCCAAAATATGTCACTTTGATATAAGGATTATTTTGAGCTGGAGGCAATTAAGAATCAACAGATATAGAAAGAGTTCTATGCCCTCCCTTATCCGCCTAAAAGCAGAACATAAATTTTTCTTTGTGGCTGTGGCATAAATTTCACCCTCTCCTGTACTAGGATGCGGAGAGTGACCCTTATCACAAGAGACAGAGAGCTGGCACAGAGATGAGTCTGCTTAAACAGACCTTACTAAAGTAACCCTTATATTCCATTAGTTTCCCCCATATATTTTTTAATCACTTTCCTACAATTTATTGCCCCTTTACCATCCGCAGAAGCACAAACCCCCTTTCATTTGACTAGTTATTTCTACACAATTTATTACCCTTTGCTAAAATGGTAAATGTCCAAGTATAACTGCTTCTTTTGGTTTTCACTCCTTTTCTACAAAGCCCTACTACACATAAAAATAGTTATTTTGATACAAATTATATGCCTTTTCTCCTGCTAATCTGTTTTTTGTCAGTTTAATTGGCAGGCCCCAGCCACTGAA